CGTTCCACAGGACCATCTTAACACTGTTGTTTGCATCAAAGCTCACTGCGGACATTACGTTTGGATGCTGGCTAAATCCTGACACTCGAAGACTCACAGCCTTTTCACATAATATGACAACATACATATTGAGCTCAGCCTGAGTATCAGCTCTTGCAGAACTGCTCAGCACCCAACTGTTTGTAATAAGCAACTGCTACGTTTTCATCTGGAAGAAAATTGTTGCCTTTAACAGATTTCCTGCTATTTTAGCAAAATATTTTTTGCTTAAAGTTGTGCACAAGGACAATATTAATTAATGGTACACAAAACACTGGTTGGAGATTAAAATGCAAAATGTTTCTGGGTTTCTGCATATAGCACATTTCCGCTTTAATCTTAACAGTACCAGTCTTTTCTGAGAGTGGCTTTTGAGTTCTCACATAGTTCTCACACTTTCCAGGTGTATTGGCAGAACTATTCTGTTCTGAATCTATTCCTGTTCAGTAATATCCTTTTGAGGCCACATCAGTCATAGGCTCACGATCTAAACAAGGCTGTAGGATTTATACACAGGAAAAAGGTGTTGCAGTATTCTCCATATTGCTCACTGTTCCCACTGCCCCTCCTAAAATCCTAAAATCTCGCTTTGCAGTTAGAAGGAGTGGTTTTGTGTTGTTGTTTTTTTTGTTGTTTGTTTTTGTTTTCCCTGTAGCATCTCTTTTTGATATGATATAATCCATTTAAAACTCTTTCAAGCTTGGCTATTTATTGCTACATTCCAAGGTATTCACGCTTATACTGGTGAGAGATTCTGTGCCACCAAGTTACTCTCTTTACAGATTTGTTTACTCTTCTAAGAAGATTCCTACAGAGCAAGCTAGTACTGATCAGTGCAATGTAATGTAAGCCAAAAGACAATGTGATAATAATTCTCATCATGTTCATTCCACATTGACACTAATAAATATTCAGTGTAAGAGCCAGTTAAAAAAAATCCCCTACAATTCCAGGCTCACACAATTAATCCTACAATCTAGATTGCCTGTTTGTTTATACAAGCTTAACACGCAAATAATTTTATTTGCTATTTGTAATTGGAATATAAATCTACTTAAGAGTCCTGAAACTTCATTTCAAAATCAACAGCTCATAGTGGAAGAAAAGATGCTAAATTATCTCTGAGTAAACCAACAGACCAACGTTTGTAAGACTATAGATATTTCAGGCCAGCTTATGAAAAGCATCATCTTTCCCTTTCCCTTGGTCTGCCCTGAGTGCATTTGATATACCATATTTTGCTTTTCTATTTTACAGCTTCTGCACCAGCATAATTCTCTCAAACTCCAAATTCTCCCTTAAAACTTTATTTCTATTGGCACATTCAAGAAATTCCGGTCTGTAGATTCTGCTCCATGCTTACTGTGTCTGAAGAATTTGCATTGAAACACGAGCTGTAAGAATGCCTTCACTAAAAAGAAAGACTCTGCCAAGAATATCGGATCTTGTGTCCCTCTGATAAACAATCCACAGTGCCTGAATTTCATTTGGAAAAGGGATTAAATTTGCTGCTTATAGTAAGTAATATGTTAAGACAACAAAGTGCTGTTAAGACTGAACCAAATATTCCCACCTACCAGCATTCCACAGATTTCTATACAAGTGGTCTTGAATACTTTCAGAGTTTCATCTTCCCACTAGCAGACACTTGTTTTTGACCATCAGTAATCCAGGACCAACAGAACACTGAATTCTCGTGTGTCCATAAGACCTCAGATGACACGCAGATGGGATCCTGGCTTTGTGTCCATATTCACACGCCGCGCTACTAAGGCTGAATGTTCATAAGCAGGAAGTGGCCTGCCTAAGCTCTCTTCCATGGTGAGGTCTAAACCTCTGCCACAGCACAGCTCGGTGCATTTGGCAGTCCCTCCTTCTTTGAGAACAAGAATAAGAGCAGGTCCCAGCTGGGTGAGTGGGATGGAGTCCTCCCACATGCTATCCAACTGGACCACGCTGCCAAACTCACCAAAATAAGAAAGCATTTCAGTCATTAGGATTAATTTCTCAATGCAAATTCTTCAGGAGAATGGGAATCCTTCTAAGGCTGGTAAACTCACAGCTTCTGACGGAACTACAGTAAAGCAAAGTATTTGCAACAGAAGAACTAGAATACAAACAAGGAAAGTGAACACTATTTATGATGCCCTATGTATTTCATGGTGAGGACAACGGGAAACCTGACTGATACATCCTAAGAGTCAGATGCAATGAACCCTAAAATCTGCAGACATGCTTCAGGATCCTACAGAGATGACATGCTCCACTCTTGCCACAGAGCTCTCTCCTGGCGTGACCAGACCTCAACAGCAGTCACACGGCTTTAGAGCTTTCTGGATGCACAGAACAGCAAGAAGTGTCTGTGGACTATTATCCAGAAACAAAGCTATTTCAATTCACAAAGTGAGGCTGTAAAGACATGAAGATCTCTACAGCCTACCAAACTTAATCTTTTGAGAGGTCCCAGAGAGCAAAACAAATGAGAATAAATGCCTGCTTCGCAGAGGTAGCAATTCAAGTATGAAGAAAAGGAGTTAAGAATATGAAAAGTACAACAGATGAACACAAATAGCGCAGGCAGGGTAACAGCAAGAAGCAGTGCAGAGCAGTTTTCCCATGTCAGTAGTTCACTCACTGTCACGTTTTTGTAGGCGTGACAGAATATGCATTTTAGAGAGGATTTCAGAGGAGGAAAATGAGTTAGCATTATAGACACTCATGGCCAGGACATGCAGCTTATGTCTGAAATGACACAGGTGGAGGAGGCAAATGCGGGTCGACTCCCTGTCAAACGTGAAGTGACAAAACCCGTTAGTGGCAGCATTCTAAAGGGATGCAAAAGAGGCCAATTACAGTTGCCAAAGCTACGAAAATGATGTTGCAATAACTGAGATACAAAATCAGTGACAACTTTGATGAGAGCTCAGAATTATGCACAGACATGAAAAGCTGTTATGCAGGTAGAATTAGTAAGACTTTGGTAGGCTGGATGGGAGGTCAGAGGAAGAATTGTGAGCTGAAAGGAACACCCAGATCATACCTTGGAATGACAAAACAGCACAGCATCTGGAAGGGAGAGTTGCGGGAGCCCTCAAACAGACTAACAGTTCCAGGAAGTGTTTTGTTCAAGGCAAGACAATGATGAGTGGATGTCAGAAATGCATTGAGATTGCAGGCCAGACAACAGCTGATAGATGTTGAGAGCAGAAGCAGACCTACACCACTTTACCTGACCTTCATAACTCCATGTAATATTTAGATTTGCCTAACAACCACGTAGCATTTTGGTAGCATTGGGAACCAAAGACTGAAGTCATCAGTATTTTTGTTCTCTCAGAGTTACATCACTTGCCACAGATTACCCAAGCAATTGCCCACATCTCATTTCATTTCCCACTATCAGCAGCAATTGTACCTCAGCATGTTTTCAGCAACAAGGTTTCTACCACTGCCTTTTCAACGCTGTTCTCTACTCAGTGCTCCAATTACTCTCATGAACACAAGCTCTTACTTTCATGACGCTTGCGTGCTTTGATAGCTAACACCAAGGGCTGGAACTTCTGCTCTGTCAGCATGCACTGGTTTGAAACACATGCTGGATCCTGCAATAGGAATCTGAAGACTGAATGCTAAAGTAGAACTCTCAGTTTTCTGCATTTCTGTCTTTGTCCCCTTTCCTATAAATATCAACTGTGTCAAGTAAACATACAATTACTTCCCTAGATGCTTTTTTTTCCCTGTAAATGATCACACACCCTGAGTTAAAGGCCTTGCCAGGCCTTGCTATTTATCAAGCTTGCCGATAGAAGAACACAATCACAGACAAAACCACAGACACAGACACTAATCAACAACATTCCATTGTGCCACAAATGAGAAATGCCAAGAGATCTACCTCTCTCTGCCCTGCTCCTTACACAGCTCCCGTTTTACGAGCACACATGCACACAGACAGCAGGCAGACAACAATATACGGAGATAATGAATGGGTCTCTAGTGTTTCAGATTTACCTACAACCGTGTCCTTCCATCAGAACTTTAAGAATGTTTTGCTTCTGGCACTAGCATTAGCAATCCCACAATAAAGACTGTTAAGAAAAATGTTGCTCAACATTAGAGATAGTCAGGAACAGTTAAAAAAATTCCGGGTGCTTTCCAGGAGCACTCTGCAAATTACACACAAACTGCTACATGTTTCACAAACCACACATGACGTATCTGCTGCCAATGGGTTATGCAAGTCTGTGACAGAAAATAAGTAAAATAAAATGCAACGTGAGTATCTTGATGAAAAGAAGAATGCACGCATCGAGTCTACCAGAGACAGAAACTGAATTTGAAATAAAGCACATGCGATATGGAATATGCATGACTGTGGGGGCTTAGAGGGGAGGGGAGAGGGTTAAATGCTGATAAACTGGTGAAAATAACATTTTTATTTAATTTTATATCCAGACTATCTGGACATGGTCTTTTCATTCCTACTGTGGGAAAATGGGAACAGAAAAAAGAAGTCCCTACTGTGGAGGGTCTAAGCTTTCCCTACTCTTCCTTATATTTTCCTTATTTGAAAAAAGCCCGTGATGACCTAAAGAAATTAACAAAACAAAACTATGTCCACTGTTTTACATCAGCTTTCTCTTTGGTCTCAAAGCTGCATCTGTTCCACGTGCACTAAATTCAGCAGGAATATCACGTACAAGATGACTACAATATCAGTCTGCAGTGAGGGACACCAATACACAAAAGCAAATACATAAAAAGGCATTTAAAACGTGAATACATATGGTGTGAAGCCACTGCTTTGTTGAGCTAAATTCTCTTTCAGAGTTTCTAGCCCAACTGTTTCCAGACTAGCTTATGTATTTTATATTCGTGCTAACTGTCCCAAATACAGTTTAACATTTAGCCTATCAAGTAAGGCTTTAAAGGGTATTTTTAAGCTCACTCTGTAACCTTACCTTGTAGGCAGCTTGTCTCATAAACTGCTTCGCAGGCTGCTTCCAAATAGCAGGCACTGTAATAACCCATCTTACTTCAGTATTTTCAAAGTCTGAACCTGCTTGGTCACTGAGCTCCTAAATAAAGAGAAACAGAGGTGAATGTAAACTGATGGGCGTCAACTTGGTAAGAAAATATTTTCTGCAGGTTCCAGCAACAGAAACTCTTTTCAATCCTTTTTCTGCTACACCTATGCTACAAATCCAAATATTGAAATTATTACCAACCTTTCAAGAATGCTTCACTGTGCCAACAGCTAGGATTAGGGCTGACACTTTCTGAAGGAGGCCCACAGAAAAGTTTACTACTTAACATGAAATAGAAAAGTTACTTTTTCCAAAAGCAGCACGTGCACTGCCGAACATTAGAGAATGTTTACGTATACTCGTAGTCATAGTGGGGGATTTGCAGCTAGTTTGAAGAATTCATGCTTACATCTGGATTAATACACAGAAAAATATCAGAAGCATTGATGAACATTAAGTTTTACAATCCAGATTTTTCAATGACTCCTTTATAAAGCACTCACACGTAAATTAAACTTTTACAACTCAGTTAACAAGGCAAAGTTACAGCTGAAGTCTTAAAAGAAAAAAAAAATCAACTGATTGCTCCTTGAAAATTTTACTTTAAGCAAGCACTGAGGAGTAGTTTAGTTACTTTATTGTTCTTCCCCTCCCCATTAAAAAGAGGAAAGTCTGTATTGCATTTGCAAATTAGGTGATATACTGACATGTTTTGGGAAAGGTTCCAAGTAAAATGTCATTACCATATGTCCTATCTAAATCTCCATCCAAACAGGGAAAGCTTCATAAAGGTGAACAACAGGCCTTTAGAATGTAAAATATGTTTCTGTGTGTGCTGTGCCAAGGTGTTGCGTTTGCTTAGTTATACTGCAGTTTAAGAATCTGTGGCAGAAAAGCAGGACCTCTATACTGCTCAGGGCAGTCGGTATGGACAGATCATAGTCCTAAGCAACAGCATGAACTCAGAAATCACAGGGATGTTATACTGACACCAAGTAAGGATGCAGCCCAGAACAGGCAGCACAGCAACTATGGGGGATTCATATTCACTAAACATTTCCCCAGGCAATGAATGCATGGGTACAAGTCTGTGACTGACTATTCAATGCAATTCCAACAGTCTTAGAAAAGATAATTATTTTGAGTAGTAATGATATGATTGTTCCTTTATGGCCATAAAGGCAGAATAAATTAATCCCATTCAGAAAAGTAGGTTAGCTTTACATCAACAGGGCTAATTTCATGCAAGCACTGCTTAGGATTGTGATTTGGCCCAGAAATTACTACATGTTGGCAGTATACAGTAGCACATCTGAAACTAATGTACACTAAATTCACAACTGGTTGTTTACATGAGACCTTAAATCTAAAAACTATTTACTGGAGACATGTATTTCACAAGAGATTAACAAATTCAATCTCGCGACCCAAGGATAAGATTACAAGTGAGCATTGTAACATTTCAACCAGGAAATGGAAAATGCAGTATATTTTCCAGTTCCCTACCAACACCCGAAATAGTAGCTTAAAATAGGCTAATATACTGAACCTCTTAGCCACACCAAGTAGCCTACACAGATCACTGCAATAGTGAAATCATACTGCTCTCACCATATTAACTAGCAAGTCATAACTGTGGAGAGTGACACTGAAAATTCAACTCACCAAACTGTGAATCAGCTTTTCATAATCTTCCTGTTACAAAATAAATCCGGCTCATCTGACTTCCCTACGATCAGTCACTAAAACAATGTCAGATTGGGACTGCAGAGATTGGAAGGTGCCCAACCAGTTGTGTTTCATGGTGCTCACTCTTCAACATGAGAGAGAACTTTGAGAATGCACAACATTGAATCGTCCCAGCATCAGAAGCGTGGGGGGCAAGACCAGAATCCAGTCTCAAATTTAATTCTTTGCAAGTTAAAAATGTAGACTGAGTGAAACAATGAGCTGCAGCTCCTGCACTTCTAAGTTTTCTCTTCAAATCAACATTTTTAATGATAAAAACAAAGCAACAACAAAAAAAGCAACACAACAACAGAGAAGTTTTATCCCCTAAAGAAGACACTCAGAACTTATTACTATTATTGAACCAAGCTTCCCCTGTGCAAGAGGAAATCACCACAGGACTACTGAGAGCTCTTTTAGAGCGCACAGCCTGCCTAGAGTTTCTACAGCTGCCTTGCTTTGTTTACATCAAATACAACTGAGGTCAAAGCTCAGCAAGGTTAGGAATGTTGTGCTCACATTTATACTAGTGATAAATATAGAGAATCTAGATAAGGAAGCATTATTCTACCTTTAATGCCTGTTCCTTAAAAAATTGCAGGGCGTAAGCAAATATCTCAAGCGCTTTGACTTTTTTGCCATTTGCAGCTGTCAGGTCCGTCTCCATGGTAAGATTCTACATGAAAGAAAATAACTGGAAGTTATTCAAAGGAAAAGGTAAACATAAGATGAATTCTCACTGCCTGAGGAAAGGGAATTCTTCTTTATCCACCTGGCTAGGAAAAAGTGATAAAATTGTTCTGGAGAGGATCTAACTCATCAATTGAATTTCCTGGACTATTACATTTGCTGTTTATTTTAAGCTTTGTTTTTAAACATCTACTGTGTCTAAAAATAACTGCAGGCAGAGAGAGTAAAACAGAATAAGTATTAAATAAATACAATAAAACGCATCTGTAATTAATTGCTGCAAGCTGCATATGAAAGATATTTCATCCAAGTCAAGAGTTAAAAGCACGCATTTTTGGCTTCCCACCAACACATGAAACCAACAAACACCCACCTCAATACAGAAAGTACTGGCCTGGCCCCAGAAATCTAGAATGGTTTAGTGGAAAGATCAACATATAATCATTAGGAGTAATGTCAAATTAACAACATGATTTCCACTTGCAATTATTATGAAGAACTCTGGGCCAATTTGTTCCTGTGCATACAAGATCAGTATGCTTCTTATATTCCATTTCTGCTCTCTGAATAAATTCTCCAAAACAAACTGACCTCATGCAGATTCCCTGCACAGCTAAGAATTTCACCCAGGAAAAGTAGGGATGCAGATACTGAGCTTCTGAGATCTACAACGAATACAAGCAAAACACACTCGCCAAACGCATCAAGAAGCAAAATGAATTGGAATATATTAACTGACATTTTCATTTACTTTATTTACTCTCGAAACAGATCTAAACACACACACATACATATATATATGATATACAGCTCTCTCCACAGCAAGATGATCTGAGCTATAAACGCAGAACTATTAAAGAGTGATAGTTATTACTTACACTAGTGGTATGTAGCTTCATCTTAAACTTCTCAAAATACAACCAGTGCTTCGATTCACTGGGATCCAAGTCATGGTAGAAATCTCTCGCTGCGTACCCAAAGCTATGAAACTTTCTTTCTGGTGTTAAGAGGATAGTAGTTGGTGTCTTCTGGTTGGATACACCTGGATCTCCACCTTCCCATCGTCTGTTCAAGTGAAAGAGCTTCAATAAGTGATATTAATGCTTACAGCAGCAGAAAAATTCAGATACTCTTAGAAAAAATGTGGTAGAATATTGCACTTACTGCTTACCCCTCCGAATATGTTTACATCGATCCTTATAATACCAAAAAGATGGGCTTATTTACATTCAAGAAAAGAGGAATGCAAGTCTCATTTCAGACGATTCAGCAATGATGCTCAACAAGCCACTCAAACCAAAGCCCACTCATGGGCTTCACCTCTTGGATGCCAGAAACACTGAAGAAATGCCTGCAGGTGTTGAGCTCTCTTTGTTGCACACTCTATTCACCTTTATTTACCTTTAAACTTCTAAATGGTAGTAATAATTTTAGATTAAAAAAAACAACAACAAAAACCTGTGAAAAATAAAGCAGACTCCCTCAACCTCACAACAATCCACTGAAATCATGAAAATAAGTATCCTATCTTAACAGGATCCCACAGGCATCTGCAGGATGACCTGCTAGGCACAAAGGTAGTAGATGAAAATAACACAATACTTGTTTCAGAGATCAAATAAGAAAATAAATAACACTGAATATGGGAAGACCCTCTGTACTTTGTGTTAAATGCAGAAGGAATTTAGGAGCAAGTAACAGGAAATTAGGCAAATAAGGAAATTAGGGCAAGTAACAAGATCATAAAGAACTGTATCACAGAGAGCTGTGAGCATTCTGCTTTTCTCCTGACATCTCCATTACGAAAAAAGCAGAATGGAAGAACAAGAAACTCTCGTTAATGTTTCCCCCTGCCCCACACACAAGTACTTTCAGCATGGGAAACAAACACTTACCAGACAACATTATCCTAAAAAAGCACCAGTGGAAAAACTGCTTTATGCTATCAGCTATCATCACAGTGCAGCTCAAAAAGGAACCAAGATCACAAAGGCAGTTGCATTCATTACTAAAACACATGTTGATTACTTTTTTCTGAAGATAGAAAAACATGCTGTCATAACACACTACAGCCAAAGTCCCTGTTCTGAGGTACAAAATGACTGCTTTGTTTTGTGGTTCTTGTTTACGTGACATATGAAGATTATGTAGAAGCACTATTTTTTATTTTTTTTTTCATTTGAACCAAGTGAATCAACTGAAAATTAATTGACCTCAAGATCATGGCAGACCATTGACACAGAAAAATTCAATCTTGGCCAAGCAATAAGCAAACAGGATCTTATAGACTGCTGGGAAGCTTTAAGACCACGCAACTGGATCAAACAGAGTAAAGTGTGCCCTTTTTTGAACTAGCAGCAGTGATGGCAGGGAATCTTCTAGTACGGAGAGCAATCCCACTGATCTGAAAACAGAAACACCTTCACCCACTGGGAAATATTTTGCTCAACTTCACTGGTGCTGCTGCTCAGCCCCACACCTACAGCCAGCCGGGAAGGGCTCTGCTGCAGGGCAGTACTTGCAAACCTCTGCTGGAACATATCTGGGCAACTCCAACACCAGTGAGCATGTCTTACAGCAAACATATGGTTCCACTGCTAATAAGCAGGGGTTCCACAGCCCACAAGCAGAAAGCACCGCCTCTTCCACCAGAACGTTACGTCCCACACAACAGAGAGGAGACAAACTGCTATCGTGTTCACTTGGAATCATTAATGATTCATTGTGAGTCACTGGTGGGAAATTCCATAAATAGGACGTGTACTTAGCTGCTGCCTAATAACAATGCCTCTTTACTTCTCTTTATGGGTAGGCACATTTTTCTCTCCTGGAATAGATACCTATAATACTTAAATGAAAACAAACTCATGCTCCGTAGTACAGGCTGAAATTTTCATTACCATCCTGAGCGTTAGGTGTTCATTTCTGGATGTGTTGCTAATGAAAATCAGACACTGTAACTGCTCAGCAAGTACTGAAGTTCTCAGCCTGTGTTACTGACAAGAGAACAGGAAGCCTGACGTCACCATTTGTAGCCAGAGCTTTAGAAATATTCCAGCATGACATCTTTTCTGGAAAGAAGCAGCTGCAGCCAGAGGCATGTGCACACAAACCTGACTGCTGCATTTCTCAAGGGGAAGCCCAGCTTCACTCTGCTTAATACGGGCTAGCAGGGCTTTGGCTTGCTGTTGAGCTGCTCAAACCAGTTCAGAGTCACTCAAGATCTGACTGTATATTAAAGGCAAAAAGAGACAAAACAAAGTTTCTGTGGAAAGGATCATAAGGTTAAGCTAAGGTTAGAGAAATGCCCTTCCTTACACAGGAATCCAGCTAACAGAGGAAAAAAGAGCACTCCTTGTAGTGAGATGAGAATTTGATCCAGAGCTGCAGCATAACAGGGAAGCAAAGCAGCAGGGTCATCTCACAGAGCTGGATGCCTCCAGGAGCATGCATGCAGCAGAAAGGCAAGCACATGTCTGCCAAGAATCATAGTCAAACAGGGAAGAAAAGAAAGAAAAGACTGAAGCTTGAAGTTATATTGAAGAAAGACCATATGCTCCCTTCTACCAAAGACAGCCTGCACCTTCAAAATCCCATAAGTTTTTCAAAGTTAGGAGTGGCCAACGATGGCCTTGAATCATCTTTGATATTTTTAAGGGAAACATTCTTGAGTATGGGTGGGAAATTTATGTTTACTCTGTAGAAACGTTTGTAAATTATCCTACATATAACCATCATTATACCAAGTACTGGAACTTATTAGTACCTTTTGAACCACTGAAGTCTTAACTCTGACCCAACACAGCTCTGTTCATTGCATCTCATTATTTCGCATTTACTAAAATATGTATTATTTTACTGTACATTTCATAATTCAGTATCTGCTGTATGTTACCCCAAATCCTTCTCTACCAGCAATACATTTTATGAGCTTTCTCAGTACACCTTCAATACTTTTTAAAACTAAAAACATAATACAACTTTGTTATCAAAATATTTTCAATTGTTTGAAATAGCCATTGGAAATACGAATAAGTGCTTTTCCCCATCTAAGACACATTTCTCCTTTCTGGTTGAAACAGACAAATCAGTTTGTTTATTTTCAAATCAGGATCTCAAATAATACCTACAGAAGTCTGAAATTACAACCACACTCTTGTTATCACATGAGAAACAAATAGTTTCAAGCTGTACAAAGTAAAATGCCAGTTAAGATTTGAAACACGTGTGCTGTCCATAAAGCACCTACCTTTCAACATTTCAGTCAACAGCTAAAATCCTGTATCCAAAGGGTTCGAGGGACATTCATAAAAGCAGAAGTTGTTATGCATCATAATGTAGCCACAAAAGTCACAGAAACAACATGATACATAAGACTGAGGATTGCTCAGCTACAGCTCTGGGGATGGTATGCATGGGTTGTGACCCCATCACCCTGTAACCTGGCAGCAACATGTGGTCTGTCCTCTGACTTCCAGCACCAGGCAGCTCCCTGTGCCATCAGCAGAACGTCAGGTGGACTGAATGCAAAAGAGGCCTTAAAGCATTACTCATCCTTATCAAAAATGGCAGGCATCTCTGTCACTGTACAGCCTACTACCATTCCTGAGTTCCCCTCTCTTTAGATAGCATTTCCCATCACCCAGATGTGTCAGATCTCTCTAAAATACAATACAACCACACACAAGGTGACCGTGCAGGCTGACTGCACAATGAATTCTGTCTGCTGGGATTTAAAGACTGGCATTCAGCTAGCAGCTGCACTTAGAAAAATTACAGTATATCATACTGGACTTCAGCAAGTTTGTCTTTTTGCCCTTTCCTTAGAGCAGGTGGTGTTTTTTTAATAACTTCTGTGCCTAAGTTCATATATACCTTTCTCATGCCTGAAATTATCTGTATCTTGGCCTTGTTACAATATAGGCAATTCAAAGATACTTTAATAAAAATCATATAGGCTTTTAGTCATTAAAAGGTCTGAAAAAAATATCAGATACACTACAGAAAGGGATTGTGGCACATCCCCTTTAGATACCTCCAATAACATTTTCTGCATTTGTGGTTGCATTAGACTTACACATATCAGAACTGTGAAGGGAAAGAAATACATCAGATTGTATTGATTTAAGCAAGAAATAACAGAAAATTATAGCCCTGACAGAAGTGTACATTGTTACAACACTAGATAAACCTGGTCACTTCAAGGTACTGCAGGACATAGCTATAGCAACTGCACAGATAGCTGCAGATGGCAATCCAAAACCAAATGCTGCATTGCAGCTCTTACCTCATTACATGAATACATTCCGGCTCCTTGGTGAAGCTGTAGGCGTAGCCACTGGATGTTGTGCCAAAATCAATAGCCACAACAACAAGAAATAACTGTTCTACAGCATCTTCTGCATCAGAGTCCTTCTGTTAAACAGCAGAAGCAAAATAGATGCTGAGTCATTGATTAGTGTAACTGTAATCTGTCTTATCCCTCAGTATTTCTGCTAAGACATGCATCCCACTTCAACGGAAAGAGGAGGAAATAGGAACTTTGCCAAAGCTGCATTCGTGAACAAAGTCGTTGTAAAAACTTTCCGTATTCCCATTAGGGTGAAAATTTAATATACAACTCAATCATGTGTTTGCTAGAGGATATTTTATACACATCCTCTTGAATCAGGAATTCTTCTCATAATCATTTGAATGGCTTCAAGCTACGGCAGGGGAGATTCAGGCTGGACATTAGGAAGTATTACTTTTCAGAAAGGGTGGTCAGGCACTGGAATGGACTGCCCAGGGAGGTGGTGGAGTCACCGAGCCTGGGGGTGTTCAAGGAAAGGCTGGACGTTGTGTTGAGGGACATGGTTTAGTGGGAGCTACTGGGAATAGGTGAACGGTTGGACTGGATGATCTTGAAGGTCTTTTCCAACCTTGGTGATTCTATGATTCTATGATTCTATTTCTTGGCATAGCTGTCATCTTGAAGCACTAGAACCTATAGTTAAACACTAGGTTACAGCGTGCTTTTTTCTTGAACTGAACAAAGAATGCATTTATATCCATCATTGTCTTCAATGGGACTTGGTGGTTTTAGGAGTCACCCAGGTTATTATCTTGACTCTGAGGTACTGCTACCACTCAGAAGTAATACAGATAGAACCACCTAATCTGTAGCAATAGACTTCACATCTCAAGATAATTATTTATCAATGAAGAATTTACAGAAAGCCTCTTTAGGAAATACTCCGTGCTGGTGGTGGTTGTTGCACAAACAGCTTGGCAGGACAGGAACAGAATGAGCTGGTAATACTGGTGGAAAAGCCACGTGCTTCAGGCAGGCGGATGGTGAAGGAGGGCAGTGCACCCACCTGCACACATGCCAGCGTGGTAAAATCAACATGGGACAAAACTGTTGACCTCTAAGTATAGAGATCCTGTTTGAATCCCCTTCTACTGCTGTTCTCAAAAATATTGAAAAGCAATTATTATCTTTACAGAGGAACCACCAAAGGTCCTCAGTCTTTTGCAGCATCCAGCCACCTTCCTCATTAACATCCTGCAGCTTCACAGCTTCATGCCTGCTTCCTTCAATGCCCTTCTATTGTATCTCTACATTTTCCAAGATCATCCCATACGCTTGATACTTCACAAGGGTGTGAGAAAGGAGAAAGGAGCATAATAAGGTTTCACTGCTAATAATGCAGGACTTATTTGGATTCTTCTAATATATCTTTACAATCAGAGGAATATGTGTTTATAGGTCTTCCTCGGGGACCTTAAGAAGCAAATCTAACTTGAAGAGGGAATGAAATCACCAGCATGGGAAAAGTAAAAGCTGTAGAATGTATGGAGAAAGATAGGAATGGAAGCTAAAATAATGAGCAACAACACATGAAATCCCAAAGAGGAATGTTGGTCAACTGAAAACTTCAGAGCAAGAAAACTGACAAGGATAACAATGTGTTCTGAACATGATCACTTGTGATACCAGGAAATACACTATGCCTATATGTGCTACAGATTATGCAGATGACCTTAAAACAGATGGAACTTAATTTTAACAGGAGTGTTTTAAAGTAAAACAAACACTGTATAAGATTAAAATGCATTATCTCTATGGAACATTTGCTTGCTTCTAAAAGCTTACAGGTAGCTATTTTCCTTTGGAAATTAAAGTAGCACTGTTCTGAGCTTCTCTGTCTGCTGGAGAAGATTCTTTTTGCTGGGAGTTCATATTATAGTGTTGAATACCATTTATATACTTTTTAAATATATATAAGTTTTTTATGGGTCTGCATAAACAAATCAGTGAGACAGACAGCGACATAATTTGGAAACCCTGAGGATCAGGAAACCCCTCACTGATATAAAAATACACAGAACAAATCTATTAGCTCAGCAAGGAGACAAAAAAAAAAAGAAAGAAAGAAAGAAAGAAACCAGGATCCTACTGAAACATACGGGATCTCCACCAGAAACTCCAGTAGGATCAAAATTTTATTTGAAACTATGGATAGCATAAAAGGGGCCAGCATGTGAGGAAATCACAGCCTTCCAATGAAACAACTTCCCTTACCACGATATGCGACGGAGACAGCGGAGTGATTCCAGGGTCTCCCAAACTTTTGGCTGGTGATGAGTAAGCAGATGTAGAAACTGCATCTGAAAGGAAACAAAAATTCTTTCGTGTCAGTAAGCAGAATAAGTAGAATAGGATAGCTGCTTTGCATAATATTATCCACTTTTCCTGATGTAACAAACCTGCTGAAAAAGAAAGCAAATTCCATAGCCTCCTCATAAAAGATACTTTTTGCCCTTAGAACATGCTAAGTCCAAACAGCAGCTTTGCTTTTGAAATGCTTGGTCTTCCTGACTAACTTCAATTCTTTCACATCTTAAATCACCACGTTCAATTGCAGAAGCCCTCCTGAATATACGGAGAAGTTCCAGCTAATACAGATGGCTTTAATACCATACACTTACATTAACAGCCTAGGATTAAACTATGTGAATGCAGAAATTAGACACAAGTTGAGATATAATAAAGAAAGACTAATTTTAAGAGAAAAAGAGCAGTTGATAACTGTTTGAAAACACAGTAAGAATAAGTTGCAATTATTCCCTTATGAATCTTTATTCTTAAAATTTCTTCATACTGCCTCTGTTTTTATTCTTCAATACACTCTGCACTGAAACATTTTGCAGCTGTTAGTATTACTGCAGGACAGAACCCAGCTGGGAAAAAGGAAAGCATTATTAACAAATCATCAAACAAATATTTCTGTCCTGCACACAATACTGACATTTCATTTAAAGGAATAGAACAACTAAGTGACAAGTACTGTCACGCATTATTTGTATTTTCCTTTCTTGTATTTACTCCATGATGACTGAAAAGAATTAAAATAATTAAGCACTGAAGATTCAGATGGGTTCCTACGTCACATATTATTTCATGAAAACTACATAACTTCACAGAATGAATGCAGAAAAGGTGCCAATACATCCTGCAAATGTTCATTCCCCCCACTCCCAGATTTAAGCCTTGAGAGTTCATTGAGCTAATTAGATGTACAGCAGAATTATTTAGTAAGTCTTTAAAAATGAATAATAAATGTTAAACAACACATTAAAAAAAAAAACAACAAGTGTTTACCTAGCCTACTTGGATGTACCACACAACAAAATGCACATGGAAGTATGGCAAGGAATTCCTAGACCTAAGACTGATGAGTCAGACCATTAATGTAAGGTAGCACAGGAGCTGCTCTGCAAGAAAAGACCTTACAGCTACTTTTCAGGGAAGATGTTTCTGAGTAGACAACGATGGGACAATCTGCTCATCAGAAAGTTTTCTTCCAAATCCTAGCATTGCTCTTCCAAAAATGTTTACTTTTGTTAGTTACCCAAGTATGCTGAGTTAGATGTTCAGAAGCAAAAGTAGAACATTCATATTCCCCATACAAAGTTCTTCAGGAATATATTACATTACTCCTTTTGTGGTAAAGTACAAAAAGCCATAGGCAGCACAGAATCTGCCTGTGACAGCAGACAATCTGCTTGATTCATCAAGCTCTATTTGGATCAGATGCTGTTATCAGCATCCTTAACCATGTGTACAATTTCTTCCTCTTTTCAAAACAGATTTATTTCTGTACCATCATCACAGCTTTTTTTCTTAGAACTGAAGAAAGAGACAACAGAAGAAAAAGAAGAATTCGTTTCCTTAGTTTCCTAAGGAAAAGAATTAGGTTCCTTGCATCCTGCTGCCTTTCCTGACTGAATCAGAACCAGCAGCAACCCTGCCTGAACCGATTCACAATGCTGACTCAAATTTTTGCAGTATGCTGCATTTCCCCTCTTAGGATACTCCTATAGAGGACAAAAAGGTAGACATCAAACTACTACTAACAAATATTATCTGTATCTCCAGTGCTCCTCCTTGTTACCAGCTCTTTTACCTGTTTCAGCGCTCCAGTTTCAGCATTCTATTTTCCAGCCTGCCTTCAGTTATCAGCCTTCACTGTGTGTGCCTGGAAAAGCTATTCATTGCTCTCTACAAGACTCATAAAATCCTGTGTGGCAATAGAGGTGATTAAATAACTAGTGTGATATTCATATCCATCCAATGAGAGCAAACTAATTTGGATGGAGTTCTATCAAGAATGTACTTGACCCAATTAATTTGCAATTATCCAGAACTATAAAATCTATACACAGGCATTTGCCATATCTGCAGGTATAAAAACTTGTAGCAGTGAAAACACATAAAGCACAGACCAGAGGGCTGTCACAGCACCCCAGAAAACATTACCTAAAATAGTGAGCAGATGAACAGAATTAGGTATTTTCAACCCAAATCTTTAAAATAACTGTCCCTTTCAGTTTCAGAAAGCTCTTGAGACTTATGCATAAAGGTTGAATTTGTGGGAAGGTTCACTTGTTTTAATTCTGATAAACTGCTCAATTCTGCTGGAAAGTTAAACTCTCTGTGATGTACCAGTATTTGTAACTAGAAAAAAAGCTCCTTCCAAGAACATAACCATTCTGCACTATTACTCCCTGTTATACTGCACCTCAGTAATGCGCTGCTTCTGCAATGCCCAGCTAAGACAAGCAGAAGATGCACTCCATTAAACCAGTTTATTTCTTAATATCAGTAACTAATCACATGCAATAATGGGGGCAACCATAACTGTTTTAACATCAGAGTTATAAAAGAGGCCTTGACATTACCAGAGTTTGCAGAACTAACAAATGAATCAGTGCAGCTCAGCATAGTAGGAAGTCAAAGCCATTCATCCAAGCTGCTGGCACTTACACAAAATAGCTTGCAGGTTAGTTGCTCTGGATTTAATGAGTTCTACAAATTAGTGAAAAGGTAATCAAAAGCACGTGAAATTAGGGAATTTGTGTGCTATCTGCCCTACACAAACAGAAAGGTGTCAAAATAAGCTTATGCATGCGGGAGGATGGGGTGAGTTGGTGCTTGCTTAGGGGAAAGAAGTGCGTGTGTCATAATTTTACAGATCTTACACGAAGAAAAGTAAATGCACAGATATTCCTGAAGGAGTTGCATATTTTGGAATCTCTTACTTGTAGGCAAATCTGAAAGAAAGCCAGAGAACGGGCAAAGGGTTGGAAGGAACCCTATTTGGAACCATGCAACAAACACCAGTCTCAATTGAAATTGACCTAGGAGCCAATTTCTCCTCTAGGCAATTAAGAAAAAGAATTACGACCAGGGCAGTACCACAGTATTTGATTCTGTGATACAACAGTCCCTAAATTTTATTTTGAACCCAAATTTAAGTAAGCATTCAAATACTTAGATCAGCATTTAAAATAACCTTTCTCTAAGACATGACGAGAGATTTACTTATTTCCACAGTAAATGCTTGTAAACATTCACTTGAAATACAACTGCCAACACTGGAGGTTGGATAATTTAACTAAGTATGTATAGAATTAATTCAACCTGTCACTGCATTTTCTGACTTTGGTCCTACCCTAAGGAATTGCCCAAAAATGCATTCTGAAGAATAGCAGCTAAAAAGGAGAAAACAGAGAAGCCTATCTCTTTCACTTCTTTGAGGATCTTTTTGTTTTGTTGGGTTTTTTGGTTTTGTTTTAATTCAGAAGTTTCTATGCAATTCCAAAACCCTGTAATATTTGGGGAAGTGATAAAATGATGACACCAGCAGATACTGTATTAATAATGATCCATATCCATTATTTTATTAGCTACAATTGCTGCCTTAGCCGATTTTATCTGTATTTTTCCTTCTTTTTATCTAACACATGCAAGAGTTTATTTTCCATGGTTTCCTGCAGCAGCTAATCAGCTTAGCTTTTCCTGTTTTTCAGTAAACGATTGGCCACGTTTTGGTTTTTCACCTTAGCTTATGACAAAATGCAGCAAAGGAATAAGTTTCAAGACTCCCAGAATACTCACAGAGTAAAAGGAAAGTCCACAATATTAATAACTCAACTGATGCGATGGCTGCGACAGCAGTGCTGAACCTTTCTGGACCTCACTCACTTCCCAGGGAGGATCAAGCCTCAGGACTCGTGTGCACGTCTTTGCTAACCCTGGAAAGTATGTCATGTCCCAATTTACGCATCTACAGGTAACTTCTATTAATAGGATCCTACCAGAGTGGTCACAAATGCAACGTTTGCTAATTCAACTCTTTCACGCTTCTGTGAACCAATGAGAGGATCGATGCTATTCCCTGTTTCAGGTGAGAATTTCAGCATGTTAAGAAGTGTTTTCACAATAACATTCAAATATAAATGAGTATCCCAAAGTCATTTGTTTCAATCCATGACCAAAATGTAATGAAATTCATTTCTTGCATAAAGGCAAAAATCTGGCTGAGCTTGGGGACTTCACTGGGACAATCAATAGAACACACTCTTTTCTGGAAGCTCCCAAACTGAGTATTCCTGCCCTACACAATCCTGACTCAAAAGAAAAGCTCCAACAATCCATTTTTGGTTCGTATAATTCACATCTACTGTTCCCTATGCTCAGCCAAGCAGCCTCTTGGTTATTTGCTGGCTGATGAGCCAAATGGTCCTGCCACTATTGCAGGCGATCTCCATGGGTCCAGTAAAACCAGGTAAACCGAAGGCACTGTGCTCAGTTTCACAGATCAACCACTTGCACATAGAATTATAGGATATCCCAAGTAGGAGGATACCCATAAGGATCATCAAAGTCAAATCCTAGCTCTGCAAAGGATCACTCAAAAATCAGATCTTATGTCTGAAAGCGCTGTCTGTATCTTAGGGCAATTTTTCTGGAATTTCCAGCTATCCAGAGGCTGGTAACAATGACTACTACATGTGGATCTCATTCAGTTTGCTGGTTATACCAAAACCTTGATCAAATTCTTCATTTTTCCATTTGGGTAACATCTCTGGATTGAAAATAAAAATGGATGTGCTGAATGAAATACGGGTGTAGAGCAGCCATCATGCAGCAAAAGAACAGAATTCAAAACATGGCTTTTCATTCCAATCACTGTGTATCATTTTGAGCATCAATAATCATTTTGCTGCAAGCAAAGCTTGCTAATGATGTTTGCACAACAGGGAAGGAAGGGCTTTCCATATTGCTATTAGTTGACAACTGCTGCACTGGTAGAGAAAACCTT